CCCCCCCAGCCGCTCTGCTCTTCTCCAGTGCTCCCCGTCCCAGTGGCCCCGGCAGATTTCGGTACCTTCTCTGCAGCCTGTGGAGGTAGAAAAGCACCCTGGGGTGGTCTAAAGCCTCTTGCCTCTGGCGAAGCCGAGGACAGCGCTTTTGGGATCTGGGGAGAAGGAAGGGGGAGCTGCTCCGAGGGCTGGTGCGGCACTGCCTGCGGCACGGGGTGGTCGGGGCTCTCCCATCCCTGCAGCAGGGTGGCTCCCCTCCCTGCAGCAGGGGGGCTGGCAGAGGAGCCTGCTGCAGGCATTAAAGTCAAATCCTTGTCTAGGATTAGAAATGCCTCGTCCTGCATGGCCAGCTTCTCGTTTCGCACTAAAATGGCCCCTGCACAACGCTGCGAAGGGAATTGGAGTCCATGGTCCGGAGCAGTTACGCGTCCCGAGCTCAGTGGGTGCCCGACAGGCTCCGCACAGATCTGCTGTGTCCCTGGACTCGAGAGATGGGCAGGGTGATGCATCAGGCTGTGACTGCTGGCAGGCTGGGGAGCTCCGAGGTGCTCACTTTTCCCCTGTCCGAGTGGGATGCAGGGTGGCTGTAGGGCTGGTGATCCCTGCCAGCCCCGCGCGGGCATGCTGTGGGCAGGGGGACCTCCAGGAGCTGGTCAGAGGGACTACACGGCTCTCGAAATGGGGACAGGACGGAGGTTATGTTCTGCTAAAGAGTTCATTCAAGGAGCTGACAGAGGCCAAACTGTTTGTTAAACCTGGGAGACCTCTGTGGCCTGCAGGAGGAGAAACCTTTTGATCCTGAATTTCATCTTCACGAGTGGTTTTGTGATTTCCAGTAACAGCCAATGGTGTGGGTGGGTGGCGAGCGGACCGGCAGTACATTGTTTGCCTGGCTCCCACCCCAGCCTTGCCCATCGCTCCGTAATCCCCGTAATCCCTGGGGCTCGACTCCGAGCTCCCGGGGCAGGGTTAAACCCGACCCGAAGCCCGCTTGGTGCCCAGAGGGTTCCTGTGTGTTCTGAACCCTCCCGACTGGAACTGGGAGAAGGGCGCGATGCTTCCAAGTGCCCCGTGTGCGCATGGGGAAGAGGCGAGGAATAAGCTGAAATGCTGGAAAGCAGCATGAAAAATGCATTTTCTGTAAACTCACAGTTTTCTAACTTCTCTGGCTTTGGTAAGACTTGGAGAGTGCTGGATGGGTCCCCGTGGGTGGCTTTGGAGGGTCTTGCAGAGCTCCTGCTCCAGGTCGCAGCTCCAGCTCACACGGTCCTTGCTAGGAAGGGTTTGTACGGGCAGTGGGGGCGTGGTGGCCCGGTCCTCTTTTAACCGCAGTCCCTTTGCCGGTGTTGCAGCTCCCGAGGGGACACAGGAGACAGGGGAGTCCCTCAT